GACGGGCCGAAGCCCCATGGGGAGTTTTTCTTGCGGAAAAGAACCCAAACCAAGTCATCAGGAGTCTGGCACGCCAGGCACCCTTGTGATAAATCAACAGGGGGGCGGCGGATCGAAGACGCCTGCGGCGAATCACCGCCGCCCCTTGCCTTTTGGAGTCGCCCATGTGGCCGAGCTTTGTGGCAAGAGCTCTGCCAAGCTATCGGACCATGTGTTCCCCCAGCCGTTCTGGAAACCCTTCGGGGAACGCTTGGGGGGAGGATGGCGGGGTAGAGGATGAAGAGGAGGAGGAGGAGGAGGAGGAGACAGCTACGTGCGAGCAGGAGGAGGAGGAGGAGGAGGACCAGTGTAAACCTCAGAGTCATCAATGATGATGGATTTAACCCTCCCTCCAAGCTCCATCTTCATAGGCTCCTTGGGCCATCTTGTGGCCGTCTAGGGTGCCTCTCTGAACCGATTTGGGGCCCTCTTGTGGTGCATCATGGCTGTCTGGGGAATTACTCCGGACGTCTTGGGGGCATCTTGGGCCGTGTTGGGGCCGTCTCTGGGGCCTCCTGTGCCGTTATGGAGCCATCTTGGAGGCCGCAATGGCCATCTGGATGCGATCTTTGGAGCCTCTCAGGCCGTCGAGGGCCGTCCGAAGGCCGAAAAAGAAGCACATGCCAAACTCTGTCAAAAACCTAAGGGACATCAATGATTTGGCCTCTTCGCGCCTTCCTGGAGGACGCCTTGGGAGCGTCTTGGGGTCCTCTCGGGCCGTCTTGGGCCATCTTTGAGGCTTCTTGGCCGGACTCGGAGGCATCTTGGAGGCATGTTGGGCCGTCTTGGTTGCTTCTTCGGCGAACTTGGAGGCAGCTTGGACCTCCTTGGGCCATCCTGGAGGCCGCCTTGGGTCAATGTGACCATGTTAGGAGCCGTCTTGAGCAGTCGTGGAGTTGTTGGTGGATATTTTACTCGTTTCTGGGCCTTTCGGGTGGCCGGCGGGACGGGCCGAAGCCCCATGGGGAGTTTTTCTTGCGGAAAAGAACCCAAACCAAGTCATCAGGAGTCTGGCACGCCAGGCACCCTTGTGATAAATCAACAGGGGGGCGGCGGATCGAAGACGCCTGCGGCGAATCACCGCCGCCCCTTGCCTTTTGGAGTCGCCCATGTGGCCGAGCTTTGTGGCAAGAGCTCTGCCAAGCTATCGGACCATGTGTTCCCCCAGCCGTTCTGGAAACCCTTCGGGGAACGCTTGGGGGGAGGATGGCGGGGTAGAGGATGAAGAGGAGGAGGAGGAGGAGACAGCTACGTGCAAGCAGGAGGAGGAGGAGGACCAGTGTAAACCTCAGAGTCATCAACGATGTTGGAATTAACCCTCCCTCCAAGCTTCATCTTCATAGGCTCCTACAACGGTTCATTTCCATTGAGGGAATTGCCTCGTTGGAAGACAACCGTTTGAAGACCTTGAAGCATGCCAAAACATTATTCTCGGGATTTCCACGCCACGGATCAACCTGACTGCTGCGTCCTCACGACCTGGAATCGTGCTCGAACGCCATTTTTGGGATGTCAGCCTTGCGAATCATCATTGTAGCACCCGCATAACCCTGAATCCTTCCAAAACACAATTTCTGGTACAGTGATCATGGGAACCAGTGAAACTCCTGCAACGTTTTATAACGAACGTGCGCGGAGCTAAGGCGAGAGCCACATTTTGAAAAGGAACCGCCCTCAATCCGTGAGGCTCCTACAAGTTGTTAAATGAATGTGCGCGGCGTTAAAGAGAGAGCCACATCTTGAAATCCACCCGCCCTCAATCCGTGAAATTTCTGCAACTTGTTAAACGAATGAGCGCTGCGCTAAGGCGAGAGCCATATTTTGAAAACCACCCGCCCTCAATCCGTGAACCTCTTGCAAACCTTTAAAACGAATGTGCGCGGCGCTTATGCGAGAGCCACACTTTGAGAACGGCCTACCCTCAGTTCGTGAATCCCTTGCAAGTCTTTAAGACTAATGTGCGCGGCGCTCAGGCGAGAGCCACATTTTGAAAACCACTTGCCCTCCAAGTGTGAAGTTGCTGACACTGTTTAAGAATTCAAAGTCGGCTGGCCTCGGGGCGCGACCGGGAGAAGTTGTGTATAAGGAAAAGGAATAGAGGAGGAGGAGGAGGAGGAGGAGGAGGAGGAGGAGGAGGAGGAGGAGGAGGAGGAGGAGGAGGAGGGGGCATCTTTAGGGCCTCTGAGGGCATTCTTGGAGCCTTCTGGGAGCTTCTTGGGAACCTCTTGGAGGCATCTTGGAGGCCTCTTGGGGGTCTTCGGGTGCTTCTCGGGGGCCGCTTTGGCCGTCTTGAGGGCCTTTCTGGCCCGTCTGACGCCGTCGGAAGCAGTCTCGGGGGCCTCTCTGGGCCGACTTGAGACCCTCTTGAGGTGCTCCAGTGCCGTCTTGGAGGCCTATTGGAAGCCTCTCGGGGGCCTCGTGGGAGCTTCTTGGGGCCACGTTGGGGCCTCTTGGGGGCCTCTTGGGCCTCTTGGGGGCCCCTCGGGGCCGAGGGTTCGACATGTTGTTTCGGGTCCCCCATCTGCCCCCCCCTCTTAGGGCGTCATTTGGGCTTCTTGGGCCGTCTTGGGGCCCTCTTGGGCAGTTTCGGAGCCCTCTTGGAGGCCTCTTGGGCCGTCTTGCGGCGATCTTGCGGACCTCCTGGTTCCGAGCAAAAAAGCACAAGAAGCCGCGTCAAGGCGCGAGAAACCCCGCTAAAGTTGGCAATGAAGGCTCCGAGCCCATTGAACGATTCCTTAGGAGTGATGGTTGAGGCTCGGAGGATTGGTTAAAGGACCCGAGGACACGCCGCCTACGTGCCCAGCGGCACGACTGACGCTTCGCGTATGCTCACCAGCCCATCTAGAAACGAGTAGCAGATGAGTCGGTTAATCAAGGACGCATGGAAGCACGTGGTCGCACAGCCGTTTTGGAAGCGTCACAATTGGGTGGTCAGTACCCTGGATCAGAAAACAAGGACCTCAAACAGCTTCGCGCAGTGAAGTTTAAGACAGAAATCGGAGCAATATGCGCCATGGTGTTCCCTGTGGTAAGCGTCTCTGGCGCAGGCTGCTGTATCTACGATCCGACGCCAACATTGCGCAGATTAGAGTGGCATCTCGATCGGCATCCTTGCTGTTCGCCCTTGCACTAAGTTGTATCTTAACCTCGCGTGCGTTTCGAACATTCGCAGGGGCTGTTGCTGCTGCCTGTGCTGCTGCTCATGCTGCTGCTGGTGCTGCCGCTAATGATGATGTTGCTGCTGTTGCTGGGAATGGTGCTGGTGCTGCTACTCCTGCTGGTGCTGCTGCTTATGGTGCTCCTGCTGGTGGTGGTGCTGCTGCTGGGACCATCTCGGGGATAGGAGGGGAACGAGGTGGAGGAGGAGGAGGAGGAGGAGGAGGAGGGGGAGGAGGAGGAGGAGGAGAGGAGGAAGAAAAGAGGATGAGGAGGAGGAGGAGGAAAAACAGACAAGGAGGAGGAGGAGGAGGCCATCTTTGGCTTTATAGTGCCCTCTTGGAGCCGTCTTGGACCATCTTGGGCGCTGCTATGAGTCACGCTCAGGGAGGGGGGGGGGGTAAATCTCCCAAGCAGGGGGGGAAGGAGGTTGGATATTGCAGGCTGTTTGCAGGGTCATTGCTGGGTCTTTGCAGGGTCATTGCAAGGTCTTTGGAGCCCTCTTGGGGCTCTTTGGGTGGGTCTGGGACGCCTCTTGGGGCCGTCGTGGCCCCCGTTGTTCAGAAAGAGGGGGGCTGACATTCAGCCCCCCCCCCTCGGAGGCCCAAACATGCCATCTTGGGGCCCTCTTGGGTCGCTCTTGGAGCGCTCTTTGGCGTTGTTGGGGTATCTTGGGGCCCTCTTGAGCCCCTCTTGGGGCTATCTTGGGCCGTTTGGGGGCCATCTTGAGGCCTCACGCGCCCATCGGAGGCGAAACAGCGAGACTGCACAACACATTGATTTCCCGTAGTTGATTCAATGATGTTGGTTTCTTTGGGGGGGGTCCTTGGAGGGCTCGGAGGGCACTTGGAACGGTCTTGGAGCCGTCTTGATGTATCTTGGATGCGTGTAGGAAGCTATCATGAAACATCTTGAGCCATCTTGGAGGCCATCTTGGGGTCTCTGGGACCCTCGTGGAGCCATCGTGGGCGCTCTAGCCCCTCGCCTCCCCCCCCCCCACCAGACGCAGGGAGGGGAGGGGGGCAGGTAAACCTCCGCGACCAGAGGGAGGAACGCGGTTGGAATCTGAATCGTTTTTGACCATCTGCGCCCAGAGGGATGGTGATATACATGTGTATATATATATATACGCACACGTGTACGTATGCATATGTTGTCACGTACATATTTGCATACACACATACATGTACACACACGTACATTTATACATACATGCATGCATGCATACATGCGTCCATACATACCTACATACAAGCACACATACCACACACATATATACACACATATATATATACATCCACATGCATACATACATACAACCAAACACAGACGCACCCATACACATACACATGCATACATGCACACACCTGCATACACACATACATGCATACCGCATACATACATATAGACATGTATGCACACACGTACAGCCATACGTATGCACATACATGCAATCATACACTCAAACATACATTCATACTTAGCTACCTACGCATGTCCAAACATGCGTACACACATCTATGATTACACATACACACATACATACAGACACATACATGCATACATACATATATACATACATATATACATGCATGCATGCATGCATGCATACATACATACATGCATGTACACATGCACACATGCATACATACATACCTATATCCAGACAGACACACGGACAAACAAACAGACGGATGGACAGACAGACAGACATGCATGCATGCATCCACGCATACAACATATATCTATATGCATGTACATCCCTCCCCTCCACCCTCCTCCTATCTTTCTTGTCCTCTCAGCAGGCTGCCTCGCACTGGGTCTGCTCTTTGCTGCTCCTCTTCCACTTGCTGGTCACGCTGCTCCCCCCGCGCCAGGAGCCAGGGGGAGAAAACCGCTCAGCAAGTCGAGAAGGACGGGGCTGTCCAGGCGTGGTCTGGTATCTCTCTTGCCCCCCCCGAGGAGAGCAGGAGCCAAGACTGGGCGGCCTCCTTGCGTCCCTTCAGGAGGAGGAGGAGTTCACGCGCTCGACCGTAGCACCTGAGGTGCTGGCCCAGGTGCAGCTGCGCTTGGAGCTCGCGCGGGAGCGGCAGGCCGACGCCGCTATAGGTACGGTGCTGCTGTTTGCGGGCGCCGCTTTGCCCGTATTGGCCTTGCTAAAGCTCCTCGTTTGGAGCTCCTGGCGGCCCAGCGGCAGCGACGGTGGCAACGCCTCTAGCTCGATGATCCTCAAGGCGTGCGTTGGCCTTCTGTGATTTCCCAGTCCTCCAACGTATTGAACAAATCAGCCGGAAGGCCGTCGCCAGGCCCTGGGACCGTCAACAGACGACTCAGGATGCAAAGCCCGTCCTCTGGAAAGGGTCGGGATTTCTGGGGGCCCCGTCGAAACAGCAGCGAGACATCTGATGTCTGGGTTTACCCCGCCCGGCTCCCCTGATAGTACGCGCAGCGCAGCCTGTGTCGGTCCTCACTACACCGCCTGCGTCGTACTGAGGGCCTTCGGTGGGACGTGTGTATTTTTTCTCGGCGAGGACCATCGAGGACCATCCTGGACCATCGAGCAAAAACAACACGCGCGAAACCGACAAATTCACGGGAAATGGACGTCCGAGCGACGGCAAGTTTGTCCCAGAGTTGCGACTCACACCACGTTCGGGCCAGAGAGGGGGACCTCGTCGGCCCTTCGTGGGCCTCTCTTGGGCCATCTTGGGGCCATCTTGGGGCCTCAGATTACCAGCCTCGAACTTGTTCCTATCCCTAAGATTGACACGCCAAAAGGCGATGACAATCTTAGGGATGCGCCCTCAAAAAATAAGGGAATCCCTAAGATTGGCATCGTGATGAGGAGATGTCCAGCATAGGGATAGGGATCTGTTCCAGGCTGGTAATCAGAAAACGCATCGGAAGGGAACAAGCGAGAAGGCACATATCATTGATGCTCTTCAGGTGCCTGATCGATTTTGGCCTCTTGGGTGGGGTCCTGAAGGGGGGCGCCGAGAGCACTTGGAGCCGTCTTGTGGCCTTCGTCGGGCCGCTTGGAGGTATGTCTGAAGCTATCCTGGAGCATCGGAGGCCATCTTGGGACCATCTTGGGCGCTCTAACCCCTCCAGCCCCCGCCCGTCCATACCCCGTCAGGAGGGGAAGAGGGAAGAAAGAAGCCGGTAGACCACCTTAGCCCAAAGGACTGGTGGGATTCAGCATCGGTGCTATTATGTCCGCGGCCGGAAACGAGCCCAATCCAATATAGTCACGCAAACGTGCGGCCTGATCGGGCTGGATTTTGGGTTCAATCGGGGCTGATCTGTCTCCATGGCCTCTTAGTGGGGCTCAACAGCGCTCGGTCGTTCCCACGGAGACCTCCCAGGAGCTGCTTCCTGACACGTTGGCGCTAGCACCCGTTCTGAGGATCATCGGCCCATCGCGCGAGACTCGGAGCTGCTCGCGTGGTGGGGGTTTGGCATGTACTTCCTGCAGGCGGCCGTGAGGGCGCTCGGGGGCTGGAGGCTGGGTGACAGGGCCGTCCGCGAGAGCGCGCTCGTGTCCTGCGTGAGCCTTACTCGGGTGCTGCCGGAGGTGGTCCTGGCCCAGAGTGCTCCCAGCTTTTCGCGCCCTTCTCGTAAGCCCTTCATCGGTCTCACGAGGACCTCCCAGGAGTTGCCTCCTCAGACACGAGCCAGGGGATCGAAGAAGAAAGACGCCATGAACATGAACTTTCGGAGCTCCGCGCGGGTCTCTTGGTTCTGCGCTGGCACCCCTTGGCGCGCTCCGCGCGCAGGGGAAGCGGGCTCGGCAGAGGTCCGAGAAGCCCGCGCGGACCTCCTGAATGCGATGCTTGTGCTCGTGCTTCTTCCTGCAGAGGAGGATCCAGCCGTGGCGGGGCGGATCCAGCCGTGGCGGCGAGAGGCACCGACACCGCTGCCCGTCCCTCGCCGCCACGGCTGGATCCGCCCCGAGGTACGTGTTAGCATGCCCCCCTTGGAGAGGCCTGCGGAGCAGCGGCACCTCGTCTGTCCGTTCGCTCCGCAGTCCTGGGCCTCGTGTGGAGGGCGTTCTGCACGGCGGCCGGCTGCGCCTCTCCGGGAGAGCTGGGGGCTTTTTGTTGGGGGGCGGGGCCCGTCTCGATCCGACCCATCCCAGGCGACCTCGATTCCGCTCCTCCTCCTCCTTCCTCCTCCTCCTCCTCCTCCTCCTCCTCCTCCTCCTCTTCCTCCCTCCCCCCCCTCCCCCCCTCCTCCTCCTCCACCTCCTCCTCTTCCTCCCCCCCCCTCCCCCCCTCCTCCTCCACCTCCTCCTCCCCCTCCCTCCCCCTCCTCCCCCCCCGGCCGGCTCGATCCGAGTCAGTTTCAAGATTTCGGCGTTCCGAGTCGGCCCGAGGATCAACGTGACCGCTGTTCCCAACCGTCCTGTGGTGTTGGGTCCTCGTCTTGAAGGGACGGTCCCGCGTGCACTCCTCCTCCTCTTCCCGCTGCCCCCTCCTCCCTCCTCCCTCCTTTTATCTCTGCCTTGGCCTCTCCTCTCCGCATGCCGTCATCACCATCAGCATCGTAAATGTTCATCGTGATCAGCATCGCCATCATCGGCGTCATCAACATCGCTATCGTCAACATCGTGCCTCTGTTCTCCGTAGCCCATTTCGGCACACCATTCACGAGGATTGTGGCCCCATGGGGAGCTCCACCGAAGGCCCCAGTGGCAGGATCCACATGGCGGCGCCGCCCCAGTTTGGCGCACCCCTCGCGAGGTTCGTTGCTCCATGGGGAGCTCCACCGAAGGCCCCAGTGGCATGGTCCACATGGCGGCGCCGCCCCAGTTTGGCGCACCCCTCGCACGATTCGTGGCTCCATGAGGAGCTCCACCGAAGGCCCCAGTAGCAGGGTCCACATGGCGGCGCCGTGCCAGTTTGGCGCACCCTTCGCACGGTTCGTGGCTCCATAGGGAGCTCCACATGGCGGCGCCGCCCATTTTGGCGCACTCCTCACATGCTTCGTCCCCAGGGGGAATTCCACCGAAGGCCACAGTGGCAGGGTCCACATGGCGGGCCCCAGTGGCAGGGTCCGCATGGCGGCGCCGCACCCATTTCGGCGCACACCTCACTCGGTTCGTGGCCCCATACGGAGCTCCACCGAAGGCCCCAGTGGCAGGGTCCGCATGGCACCGCCGCCCATTTCGGCACACCCCTCACACCGTTCATGGCCCCATAGGGAGCTCCACTGGGAGCGGTACCCACAACGCGCTTTTCACAACTGCGTATGGTTGGGTCCGTCGCCAGGATAATGTTGTTTTCTTGCGCGGCCGCTGCGATTCGACTCCGACACCATGCCGATGCAGCTCAACCCGACGCGCATTCCAATCCGACCCGATGTACCGATTCGATGCTTACAGTGCCGTTTTTTATACATGCTCCGCGTGCGGATCATGTATTAAAAATGCAGCGAATTAGTACTAAAAACAACGATGAGTTCATGCATACATTTCTTCATACATTCATCATGTACTACAAATCCTATATTAAAAAATCCTATGTATGAGAAGTTGCCCTGTACTGTCCTGGTGCCCACTGGGTTTCGTGAGGCGTGCTGCGGTGTGCCCATCTGCGAAAACTGTGGCCCGGGCCGCCTTCCCAGATCTCCGACGTCGCGTTTTTGCTCGCAGCGTGGACCCCCAGAGGTCCGCACTCTTTCCCGGGGACCGGTGCTCCTTCCGAGATGTGTTGATTGCTTTTGGGCCCAGTAAGGGCCCGCCCCAAGAGACAGGACACTGCAGCAAACAGCGGAGCTCTCAAGTCTACGCTCTGTGGCCTCCAAGGTGCACAGGATGCCATCCAAGCTGGCTCACGCTGGGCTGAACCTCGAGAGGGCCCCAAGAAGCACAACAAGCGTCTGATGTGTTTTGTGTTGGGAAGGTGCTCATTTGTTGCACATCCGCCTCTTGGGCCTGAAGAGCGAGGAGGTGGGGGATCGGGCCAGGGCCTTGGCATCGCTCGGACGTGTGCATTTTTCCTTCGGCGAGAACCATCGAGGAGCATCCTTGACCATTTCGCGAAAAAAACATACCCACGAAGCCGAACAAAAACACAGGAAATGGACGTCCGAGCGATGGCCAGGGGCCACTCCTGGCAGCACCTGGCGTGCCTTCCTCCTGGTGCTCGGCGTCGCCGCGTCCTGGGAGAGGGTCGACCTGTGGGCCGCGGAGCCCGCGGCCTCGCTGGCGCTCGGGGCCGCGCTGCTCCTGGAGGGCGCGCGGCTGCTGCGGAGGCACGAAGGTGACGAATCGGCACAGTCATGTTGGGGTGCAGCTCTCGGGAGACCAACGATTCGGAATCGGCGCGGGTATGTACATACATATCTATACATACATACATACATACATGCATGCATGCATGTATACATGCATACATCCATACATACATACATGCATCCATACATACATGCATGCATGCATGCATGCATGCATGCATGCATACATACATACATATACATATACATATACATATATATATATATATATATATCGATCGGAGTAGGCCGGGGGAGGGCCCAGACTTGCTGCCTTTGGTTCGTAGGTGGGGCCGGGGGGGCCCCAAGAGGGTTCAGAAGGGGCCCCTGACCCCCCCAGAGGCTGCCAAGCTGGCCCAAGAGGCGCCCAGAGCGCCCTAGGTTGTCTGGAAGGTGGCTGAAGAGCGCACTGAGATGGCTTCTGGACGGGCACCGAGCGCTCGAAGACAGCCCAAGACTGCTCCTGGACGGCCACAAAGGCATTCAAGACGGTCTCAGAGGCCGCCGAGAAGGCCCTCCAAAGGCAAAACTCAAGCATTTCCCGTGGTAAAGCGCATATGTCTTGGATAGTTTCTTTTCAGTTCTACCAGCGGCCGCGACGGCCCCAGAGGCTCCCAAAATGAGCTCTGGACGGCCCAAGAGGCCCTAAAGAGGGCCCCCAGACGGTCTGAAGAGAGCTTCAAGCAGCTCAAGAGAGCCCCAACACGACCCAACCAAGACAGTACCCAGGTTCCCCGAGGGGGCCACTGGAGGATCCCTACATGGTCGGAGAGGGTCCCCAGAGGGCCCCTAGAGGGACCCAAGACCGGCTCAGGTCCCAATGGCAGGCGAAGAGGGACCCGGAACTGCCGATCTGGGTTCCCAGAGGGTTCAAAAAAGGCCTACCAGGTCTCCCAAAAGACGGTCCAGGAGGCCGCTGAGAAGGCTCCCGGGTGCAAAAAACGATCCCTTACGGAAAACACACATTTCTACGATATGTGTTTCTTATGTTCCATCGGCGGCCACGTCGGCCCCAAAGGCTCCCCAAATCGGCGCCACCCCAAGAGGGCTCCAAGACAGCCTCAAGAGAGCGTCGAGCAGCACAAGAAAGCTGAGCGCCAAAACAGCCCGAGAGAGTCCCCAGTGGTCCCGAGGGAGCCACCGGAGGACCCCTATACATGGTCGGAGAGGGCTCCATGAGGGCCCCAAGACGGCTCAGCAAAAACATATTTTTGGGAGTGTCGCTTTTCAGCTCTACCAGCGGTCGCGACGGCCCAAAAGGTTACCAAAATGAGCTCTGGACGGCCACAGAGGCCCCAAAGAGGGTCCCCAAATGGGCTGAAGCGAACTTCAAGCGGCACAGGAGAGCTACAAGACGGCCTAATGGAGCCCCCAGGAAACTCGAGGGGGCCACCAGAGGATTCCTACATGGTCGGAGAGGGCCCCAGGAGGGCCCCAAGACGGGCTGAGCTCCCCGCGACGAGCCCAGAGGGACCCGGAACGGCCGAAATGGGCCTTCAGACGGGCCAACAGAGGCCCCGAAGGACTCCAAAGGAAGGCCCGGAGAGGCTCCAGGGACTGCCACAATGCTTCCAAAAAGACTCCCCGCACGCGGTCCAGGCACCCGTGTACTGGGTGCGTTGAGAGAAGGAGGAGGAGGAGGACAAGGAGGAGGAGAAGGAGGAGCAGGAGGAGGAGGAGGAGCAGGAGGAGGAGGAGGAGGAGGAGGAGGAGGAGGAGGTGGGAGAGGAGGAGGAGGAGGAGGAGGAGGAGGAGGAGGAGGAGGAGGAGGAGGAGAAGGAAGATCAGGAGGACGAAAAGGAATAAGGAGGGGGAAGAGGAGGAGGGACATTCCTCTTGTAATCTTATCTTGTTCTCTGATTCGCTGGCTCGGGGAGGCATGCTGAGGACGAGGGGGGAAGGGGGGCGCAGGATGAAGAGGGCTCGAGAGGAAGAATGATGTGAAGTAGGTGAAGTAGCACAAGGAGGGACACACCGAAGAGCGGGGAAGACAGGGAAGAGGAGGAGAAGGAGGAGGAATAATAGGAAAAGTAGAATAATATAAAGGAACAGGGATCCCTTTCAGGGAAACGCCGACCAGTAAAAGGATGAATCTAAGATGATGGGAAGAGGGAGAACGGGAAGAGGAGGAGAGCAAGGGGACTGCAGATGACCAGAGATGATGACGGCGATGACGCTGATGGTGATGACGATGACTATGCCGGCGACGACGCCGACGACAACCAACAAGATGTTGATGATGCGGATGATGATGTTGAACAGTACGATGACGATGACGGAGATGGTGATCACGATGTTGATGGTAACGATGATAATGATCATTGTTGTGATGGTGATGGGGAAGGTGACCATGACCATGACGATGACGATGAAGCTGACGGGGATGAGGATGACATTGATGACGATGATCATGACCCTAGCTAGAACTTGAGCGCGCGCGCGAAACGCGCTTGGTGGTTCTAGTATATATATATATATGTATATACACACCTCTATACATACACCTATCTATATAGGTGAATTACACCCTAGCCGAAGACTGGCCTGATCGGGTCGAATCCCGATAGAACCGGCTTCATCCCGCTCAGTCTTGTTCATTCCCGCTCAGTCGGATTAAATTCCGAGCGCGATCTGGCCTAATCCGGCTCAATGGCCCCTTAATTTGGCATAGTAGTTTTCAATCATTCTCACGAGGGATGCCCAGGAGTTGCCTCCGTAGACATGAACCAGAGGATCGAACAAGGAAAGCGTCATGCATAGAAACTTTCGGAGCTCCGCGTGGGTGGCTTGGGTCTGCGCTGGAACTTCTTGGCGCGCTCCGCGCGCCATGGAGGCGGGCTCGGCGCAGGTCCAAGAAATCCGCGCGGACCTCCGAATGTTAGTGTTGGATGAGGTGATGCCGATCCCGCTGCCCTTCCCGTGTCACCGCGGTTGGATCCGCATCGAAAAGTTTTGGTCAGTGTGCGCCCAGGGAGACGTCCGTGGAACAGCGGTATCGGCACATCTTGGTTCCCAAAATGGCATGGCATAACGCCGCATAACAGCTCACTGCATGCCACAACGTAGCATAGCACAGTCCAGAATGGTTTGGGGGCGACGCCCAAAGACATCGGAAGAGGAACCGCCCTCGCCCAGTCCAGATCCGCATCCCCCTCGTCCCAGCGCGCGATCCTCATGCATGGCCAGCTTGGCTCAAACGCGACTCTCGGAGGCCTGCAAGGATGTCTCGGATCGGCGATCGGCCCCTTTTTTCTGGCGGTGTGTGCTGTGTTGTTCCCTTGCGCGCGGGCCATGAAGAACGTGAGTAAGGAGGGGAAAGCACAAACAGAGACACAATTCATCGTCGACTCCCAGGAAATGTTTGAAACTATGGGAAGTGGGGCGGAGACGAAAACCCAGAACATATAGGAAACTATTGGGGATCCTGCTATGTGTGGGTATATATGTATATATATATATATATATATATGTGTGTGTGCGTGTGTACATGTGTGTGTGGTGTGTGTGTGTGTTTCTGTGTGCGTGCGTGTGTAGAGGAGGAGGAGGAGGAGGAGGCTGGACTCGACCCAGAAGGGTCTTGCACACGAATTCAACCCTCGGGACCACCCAAACCTCCCAGACTCAGCCCCAGCCTGGCACGGCTGGCACGGCCGCGCCAGGGGCAACGCTTGAGAGGTCGAGGGGGTCCTCGGGGCCCGACAGACCGCGGGCCCTGCGGGCCTGGGCCTTTGCCCTGGCCTCCAGGGCTCTGGACCCCAGACTCAGGGCCTCAGCCAGCCGAAACCCGAAAAACGACAAGACTTCCAGGACGCTGGGCCTCTTAGGGCTAGCAGCCGTCGGGCCGCCCGTTTGGGCCACCACAGGAGGCTCGGGGGGAAACTGCCCAAACCAAAAATCGATTTCGGCCTCGGAAGGCGGCCGCAAGCTCCCAAGAAGCTTGTTCCCTTTGGGGTGCTTGAAATGCCTCAACGCGGAATTATTATTCTTAGCGCTAGGGATCGGGCCTCCTGGACACTTATCTTGGAGTCCACGCCCCCGCTTATCAGAAACATACCCACGGCACATTGTACAACAGAGAAGGCAGCCGCAGGACTGCAGGGCTGCGCGCGCCTTTTCATCCACGAAAATGGGCGCCGCGAGCAGTGCGTGCCCGCCGATGCGCCAGGGATGAAGTCCCTCGGGCACAACGTCAGGCCCCGACGTCGTGCTCCCCACAACTGCACAGGCACTGGCCGCGGTCTCACCTTCGTCACTCTCAGCTTCATCTTCGAGCTCATCAGGCCAGTGTGGCCACTCACCAAGGTCGACCAGCCTCAATGCCACCACGCCCACTGAGTCGAGCATGTTGGTGCGCGACAGCTGCACCTCGTGCGCGGCAGCGAAGCGCGCCGCCTGGCGAGCCAAGGCCTGGCAGCCCTCGACCACTAGGATGTCATCGGGGTTCGCCCTGGCCGACGCCGCGCCCTACTTGGCTCGCATGTCAGCGCGAGCGTTGCCGTCCAGCTCGAACTGCGAGACGAGGCCATCTGCGACCGCCTTGGGGCCCAGGTGGGCCTTGATCTTGACCACCGTCACGTCTTGCAGCTGCTCTGCCTGGCCAGCCCACAGATGCGCGCGCTGGCCACTGGCGGCGGCCGCCGCAGTAGGGTTGGCCGTGCAGCGCACCGTGGCCATGCAGTCGATGTAAAGCCGGTAGCTGCCTCCTGCCACCTGCGACGTGAGGACCTTGACGGCGTAGTCCTCACCGTCCCTGGCCAGCTGCTCAGGGGCTACCGCAATCGCAACCGCTCCCCACGCCTCTGCCACCAGCCTGCAGGCCTCGTCATAGACCACCACGGCCCATCCCGCGGCGCGCAGAGGCGGGTAGGCCTGGTCGAGGCCCGAGCCGTCCACAAATACATGGTGTCCGTGGAGGTGCGGTCCCAGAGTGTACCAGCCCGTCGAACTCTCGAAATGGTCCGTTGCTGCCCGAACTGGCC